CTAACTTTAACAATAGACCATCTAGAATTTTCTGCCTTTTAATAGAATATGATAGAAAATCAGTAAGCACCAGTAAGATATTCTTGCCCAAAACATTTAACTTGAAGCTAATCAATCTTACACACTTCACTTCCACATCAAAGGAAATATAAAGAAAGATATAGATCCAAAGTAGCAGTCTATCCTGAGAAACAAAGGGCATGCAGCAAGAAAGCTACTAGATGAAGAGACAAACACAAAACACAAACCTCAACTGCAGCTGGTTCAAAAAACAAAAGTCTGTAGTTATTTTTAAGAAAACTGAAAACCTGGGAATGGGGTTCAAGTGGTAGAGTGCTTGCCTAGCAAGCCCAAGTACCGCAAAACAGTAGAAAAACTACAAATATGTAGACATCGAAGAGCACCTGCAGTGTGTGGGCCACTTTGATCCTGTGACCCGAGCCCTCTGACCTAGGGAACAGCTCCTCTCCAACCTGGCCCTGAAGAACGTCATCTGTGCATTCATCTCTGAGAATGATTGGGCAGAGGCCTACGGAGACCCTCTTGCCTTGCTGTGCCTGGCACCCTGACCCAGGAGGGCCATGAGACAGAAACCCTAGTCTCTGTACAAAGTTTGTGTCCCTAGGCCTCCTAGTCAGCTCTGCTGGTAGGCTCTGGTCTGTTCCCCCTCTCAGTAGAGCCAATGGCTGGGCTTGAGCCTTCCTTTCCCCTTGTGGGCTGGAAAGGCCGTGAGGCTGGGTTGTACGAAGGCTACCATTGCTGCTACTGTCCTGTAATAAAATCTGTAAGCACTAAGAAAAGCTAACACTTTTAGAATATGGATTTAGATGATATATTTTGAATTTAGTTTTCTCAAATGTAGTCATTATACTGAGGTTATTAGGAAAATGGCTTTATTTTTTAGAACATGTATGCTGAAGTGTTTAGATATAGCTCTCAAACTGCTAATAATTTAGGGGTATGCTATCATCTTACTGTGTATGTATATTCAGAATGTAAAACTGGAAAGAATTTAAATTGGGGAAAAACAAAAGATCTGCCAGGTATAGCGGTACACATCTATAGCCCCAGCACTCATGAAGTTGAAACAAGATTGCAAGTTTGAAGCCAGCCTGGATTGCATAGCAAGAAACACAAAAAGGTCTTTAACATCACTGCTAGGAGCCCAGAGGATTTCAAAGCAGTTCTGTCGTAGCATGATTAAAATTATTAAAAATGGCAAGTCACATAAAATCAAAATATTAAAAACAAAATCAAACATGGCTGTGATAGAGACGGGTAATACAAAGAAATGAAAATTTGAAGCATTATCTATATTATCCAAAACTGAGCTCCAAGTTTTAAAATTCTAGAATTCAAAGCAACAGCTACTGGAAGAGTAACAAAATGAGACATGAACTCACATCTTTCATGATTTTCTGTAACCCTACCAGCCTCCTAGAAAACATGCCCAACCTTTACTATATTTAGAGCTATTGAAGCTACAAGCATGTATTACAAAAAACTCATGTCATTATTATATTATTCATTGAATCTACTATCAAGGCAAAATAACATAATTAATTTTAGCCAAAAGGAAAAAAAACAATGAGCTAGAAATGTAGCTCAGAGACAGAGAACTTGCCTCACATAAAACCCTTAGAACCAAAGCACGTGAACCTACTTAATAAACACTCAGTTATTAGAATTCATATTTTAAATATAAATGTACACAAATAAGGTTAAAAACATACATCTGATTCAGTACATTTAACTATACCGCTAACAGACTCTACGAAGCACATTTACCATTTTCAGATTATCCCCAAACACTAACAATACTCTCTCTTGGAGAGGCAGTACTGGAGTTTCAAACTTGCTATGCAAGGGACTAAGCCAAATACTAACAATACTCTCTTTTGGGGAGGCAGTACTGGAGTTTTTACACTTGCTAGGCAAGGGACTGAGTCATACCTACAGCAACATACATCATTCACCTTCTCTTGAGTTCTATTTGTAAAAAGGAACAAAGTATACCTCTGTGCTAAACAGTATTCACAAATGAATATGATTTCTTTACAGGAAGTTACCACCTTTAACATTTTAGAAATCTTAAATAAATAAATGTGAGGAAATGCATGAATGAAACAACGAATGCTTCTGTCAATGGAGGGCTGATACCTAACCCTAACAGATGACAACAGGCAGGTGGACCTAGCCACAGTTTGGCCCCACTCTTTGAACCAAAGTAAACAGCTATCAGTTTTATTCTAGTAACTCTTCCTACCACTGGTTATTACCATTAATGGCTATTTAGAATTAGTTTAAAATTGTATTTGAAAATGCTGTTTAGATAAAAGGCTTATAAACACTTGCTATGTGGCCTAGGCTGGTCTAGATCTCCTGGGATCAATTGATCATCATATTTTAGCCGTGACTTCAGGCACACAACTGGGTTTAGCCCTTATAAAGCAAATTTGTTCCTTAAAATTTAGGGTAGCAGGAATACCTGAATGGTAGAGCACTTACCATGTACCATGTGTAAAACTCTGGGTTCAATCTCTAACACCTAAATAAATTTTTTTAATCTAGCTGCATTTAATAAAAAAATTTAATGCCAGAATTTAGTATTTATCATTAAACATTATGACATGCTTGCTACTTAGCACAGTATCTAAGGGTAAACATGTTTTTCTACTCTAGATTGATATTGTTAGGACAATTTCACTGGATTTTAAAAATTAAAAAGGACAGTAAACTATAATTCTCCGTAAGCAAGAATTGTTATTCCTTGTGTCATCCCCATCATGTCAGGACAGTGTGTTTCAATATGGTTAGTCACTCTGGAGTAAGGAATTAGGCCTCAAAAAAAGTTCCTGCTTAAGTCATTGGAAGGTTCCAGAGTTAGCAATGTCATAATCCAGGTTGGGCCTCTCAAACCACTTCACACATTTTATGCTAACAATGACACACTAAGGATCCTGATGCCAGCAAGATCTTCAGGTAGGGACCAGGTCCTAGACAGAGTTCAACCAGGGGAGCTAAATAAACCAAATAAAAATCTGACACCAGGGCTGGGAAGGTGGCTCAGTGGTAGAGCGCTTGCCTTGCATGCATGAGGCCCTGGGTTCGATTCCTCAGCACCGCATAAGCAGAAAAAGCTGGAAGTGGTGCTGTGGCTCAAGTGGTAGAGTGCTCGCCTTGAGCTGAAGAGCTCAGGGACAGCGCCCAGGCCCAGAGTTCAGGCCCCACAACTGACCAAAAAAAAAAAAAAAAATCTGACACCAGAGCTTGGGTGAATCTCCCTGTTCATAGTGTCTCATGTAGAAGCCAGGAGGGCCACAGGGAAATGACATTAGGAGCTCCAACTTTGGGCTCTCAGTAGACCCTGTTTTATGTGGCTCTTCCTTTGTTTTAATGTGTATTTCCTTTCCCTATAATAAATTTGACTGCTGATATAGTAGCTGTTATTTCTTTCTAGCAAGTTACCAAGCTTGAGAGATTTGGGAAGCCTATTAATTTGCAACCAACAAGAAATCTTAGTATGGAAGAAACTCTTGTGGTAATTGAAAGTAATCTGCTTCTAGTTTATGTTATCAGTCCTGCCTTGAAGGTATTTTCTTAAGAACAGTTAATACAGACTAGTATTCCAGGCTAGTTACTACCCAAGTCTAGTGAAAGTAGTCTTATAAGATGTAGATTATAAAACATATTTGCCCAGCACTTAGACCTTTTTTTTCTTTTTCTTCCCCTCCCCCTCCCCTTTTGCAGGGAATGGGAGTGGAGGGAAGCCCAAGGTCTTGCTATATAGCCCAAGCCAGCTTATATACACCATTGTACCTGGCTTGTGATATATATTTAATAAGAACTATTCCAATACAAAAAAATTAAATGTTTTTAATTCTTTCCATGAGAAATTACCAAAATGTATGTGTATATGTATTTATGTGCATATATACAATGCTTATATGTATATTTATACAGTGCTCATAAAAGGCTTACTTAATATATATGCTTGCTGCTCTTCTTTTTGACATCTATTAAGCAAAACATTTTGTGCACTGTTATTTCAGAACAGAAGCGGAAATTCTCTATGTTCCTCACTACATTTTTGCTCCACATTGACCTGACAGTCACAACAGAAGCAATTATCTTCAAATTGTGAAGAAAATACAGAATTACTGTATGTTCTCAAACCTCAAGGCTAGCAAACAGATTGTTATAGTTAGAACCAAATACTTTTATCATATGGGTATAGGATACTTTTATCATATGGGTAGAGAAATTCTAACTTAAATAAAATCTAGGCTTTTAGGCTACAGAATATGCTAAAGAAGAAAGCAGGATGACATGGTATGGAACTAAGAGGAGGTAAAGATCAGCAAAGTATATACAAAGTAGAGACTAATTTACAGATTCGGTCACAGACAACAAGTGAAAAGGGAAACAGGGACATACAGGAAGAAAGCTCTGTAGTTATTTACGAAAATAATCTATTTAAATTGTCTATTAAATATATAATGATGATCAAAAAAGGACAAGAGAAGTTATCAGTAAAAAGCCATTTAGCAAAAGACTAATTTTGAATTATGTCCATAAAAAATTTAAATATAAAAATCATTCTCAAACCCCAAAGAATCTTTTTAGATAAATAAAACACAGACATAGACAAATGCAGGATCCAAGTCAATTTTTAAAAATCACAGTAAATTATATATTGCAAGAAACAAAACAAAATAATACTTAGATACAGCTATTAAAAAGGTTGAAAAAAGCTGGAAAATGGTGTACTGGTGTACAATTTAAGTAAAACTATTTACTAAGGCTTTTAAATCATACTTGTTTTAATTTTATTACATAATGAATTTAAACTGCAAATGTTGAAACAAAAAATGAAATTAAAGTTTTTCTTGAAACATTCTTAACTGCCCACTGTCTAAAAAAAAAGAGAATTACAAAATAATCTCCAAAAAAGCCAGTTATTTGGCAAACAAGGCACAGAGGACCAAAATTTTTTTTATATAAAAGTGCTTTTTCTTTGGTCCTATAATTATTTAAAATGTTCTGGAGACTCTTAAAATGATTTTCAATATAGTATAAATAATTTTATAAGTCTTCTATAGAGCATATACCAACAGTAATTTTTACAGTGGCTATTTAAATGACTAATCCTAAAACTTTCTTTACAAAAAAAGCAGTTGAATGATGACATTTTAAATATTTAATAATTTGATATGTAAGAATATTCCGTATTGTACTGTTTGGCGCACAATGTCAATTAATTCCTTCCAGACTGTAATGAGTCGACCTTAAATATCAAACTACCATTCTATTTTATGAAGTTCTGTGACATTCAAGGTAAACTGGTGTAAACATTTAAGTTTTGCATATGTAAACTATATATTCAATCATAAAAGGACTTATATTGTTGCATTTACCACATTTTTCTCCCAAACCATATTCTTAATTTTAACAGAATTACCAATTAACATTGTTCTTACATGAATTAACACATCTTCACTTTCAACAAAGTAGTTGAGTGATAACAAATACACTTCTAAAAGTATAGAAAGTTAATCAAGGAATTATCATTATAAAAGCTAGACACATTAAGATCTTTAAAGATCAACAAAACGCAAACCACTTACACAAAATGTCTTTATCTGTATATAATCAAGGACAGGACACAAGTCTTCCCAAATAGGATCATTCCCTTATGAATTAACAAGTATAAACTAGCACAATAATAACCTCAGACCCACTAGAAATCTAAAATGTAAACTGTGCCTAATAAGAAGTTTGCTTTGAAAATATGTTAGACTACTTTGTATATTTTCATAAATCTTCATTACATTTTCATAATCTTTGTTAGGAAACTTGAAAATTGTGATTTTGGTCACCTGAAAATGTGTGATTACTTATACCTAATATAAAATAACTTTGAATAAAAATTTAAAGATAAAAACAAAGGCAGACAAAACCTAAATTAACAATTACTTGTGAATACACACTGTATTGGTACATAATTATAGCTCCAACAATAATGGGACCTAAATCCAAGGCTTTGCTTTTAGTCTTGAATTCTGTGCATTTTCAAGGTTTGTATTTCACTTACTAGTAGGTAATAGGATATAAGTCCAAAGGCTGTTGTAGTCTTAAAACACCATGCAAAGAATGTGCAAAGTTCTTAAACAGGATACTCTAGATTAAAGGTGGTCACTGGAAATCATGTCTGCATTCAGAAAGTTTGGTACCATTTTGGTATCAACAAATTGACTTTAAATATTTCATAATTTTAAGCGCTTTTAAGATGAATGCAGTTAAAGTAGGCCTATAGAGACTATGTATTAGCAAGTATCACAGCCAGTCCAAATTAGTAAAGAGTATGCAACAGTTCATAACAACAGTAATTTTGAATCAAAATCTATTTAACAAAACCCATGACAACTCTATAAAAATATGTCTTTTACAGTTTTTATATCTATTAAGTGGGCTTTTAAAATATATACAATCATACATGAAAAAATAAAGTAAAATACTTCTTATACTAATAGGCAATTCTGCATATATGTAGTCAATAATTTAATTAAACTTATATTCAAACTATAGAAGACAATTTTTGCCCACCACTTTATATATGACTAATATATTTTCTGTCCTTTGAACTTATTAAATAATTCAATGTAATTTGCATCCTCAACTCCAGTGTCAAAAAAGGAAGGAAATAAAAAACATCTCCACTATTGTAAAGCAGCAGCTCTAGGGGACAGAGATAGAAATCAGAATTCAGTCACCTCTCGTGGTCAAATGACAGGATTCCTGGAGACAGTTGCTACAAGAGACCTAAAAAATTCTGGCCAGCTTGAACTAAAAGTTACAATGCCACTTAAAATAATGTACTTTGGCAATAGGGAATGTCTAAGAAAGTAATTTTGGTCTTTGAAATGTATACTACTATCTTTTTTATTATTTTTTCAACAGTTGTATATTAAAGGAAGTTTCTGCAAATCAACAAATATTCACCAGAACACTTTCTAATTATATACGGTATATGCACAATAGTTCAACATTGTCCTCAGAGGGAGATCTGTAGAAAGCTACTCTGTCTTCTCTTTCTCTGCCCCCAACTAGTTTATTTAAATGATATCTTTTAACTTTATTGGCAATTATACATACATTTAAAGTAGTATTAAGGACTTAACTAATTTGGAGTGAAGAACTGTCATTGGGGGGGTTAGGGATATAACTCCCTTAGTGTCAAAGTCACTAGCTATTATCTAGCACAGGACCAACTGGATTGCTTTCAGCTGTCTCAAAGCCCTGAAGAGTCTGAAGATATACATACATATATATGTATATAAATACACATATGTATATGTATACATATAAGTATACATATAGATGTCTCCCTATACTAAATTTACATATGAATTTTATTCTCTGATGAATTTGACCCAATATTCATCAAATTTTATACAAACTGAACAAATATTTATTAGTCCTTTGTTCAATAACCTTTTGTATAAATATAAAAATATCAGATACATGAAAATGTTTTTCAAATCATATTTCTATTTCAGCCTTATAGGTAAGTATAATTTCCAAACTCTGAATACTCTATGAGATTTGATTTATCTGTACAGAGGAGTAATAAAAAATTTTAGTAAGTAGAACTGATTTGCAAAAACGACTGTTTGACTTTTATGTGCTCTGGCAAAGAAAGAGTGCATTGAACATCTGCAGCAATCAGAAAGGTAAACTCTTTAAACTGAGCTGTCATGTTTCCTCCCCATCCTTGTTCTGATTCTAACCCTGGGAAAGACTTTCAAGTTTCAATTTCTACATGTAATGTTTTGTTACATGTACAGTACACATATTTTATCCTTATGCCTGTGGATTTTCAAACCATTTGAACAAGATGGTCAGATTCAGAATTTGCATGATGAATCTGTAGAAATATCTTCACAGAATCTGTAGAAGTCCTCTGTGCAAGATTAATGTTGAAACTCCTAGCGCACCACTGTGAAAAACCAGTTAAAGATAGTATACACCTACGCTTTAATGGGATTTCCTGCAGGTTTGGGATCATAACCATATAAGAAGGTAGCTGTTATCACAAGGATGGCTCCAAGGAAAAAGACACTGAATAAGATAAAAGAAAAATAAGAGAAAATCAAGTTAAAAGCAAATCAAGTTCTTTCCAGTACCTTTACCATGAAAACATCTATAATTCATGAAAGGGTTGTCATAGCATGACTAACAATGTTGGGTGCTTCCTGGCATTGCAGATATTTGGCAATAGAGAATGTCTCTTTAAAGGTAATTTTGGTCTCTGACATGTTTATTAACATCTTGGTGATTGTTATTTTTTTCAGCTTTACATGCATTAACTCATTTCTCACAAGTCTATGAGGAAGTACTAGTATTACCTTCCATTTTTGCCTATAAGGAGGTAGGTTAAAAGAGTTTAAATAACTTGCCTAGGGTCCTAGGACTTTAAGTAGAAGACAGGATTCAAGTGCAGGCATGTTTGACTCTATAGCCTGCATCTCACCTACTGCCCTGTCTCCCAAAGCAAAGATGTTTTTGATGGTGTAGTTCACCTTAATACACATCTCACATGAAATACATTGATTGATAAAAGGCCTTGATTCTCTAAATATGTGAAAATGTAAAAGGAAAATTTTGTTCTTATATGTTAAGCCTAGGTAAATTCAGTTTAAAACCTAAAGTAATAAGCAAAATTCATGAAGGGTTTTCATAGCATGCCTAGCAAAAATTTAATATAGGGAGTCTTAGTTTCATCTTTATTCTATCTATAATCTTATTTTACATAAACTGAGCACCAACTTTTGCTTTTGTTGTTTAAAAAAAAAGCATAAGGCAGATTTTATTGAGAGCTATTGCAATTGGATTTTAAAGTAGAGAAGAAAGATTGGGATCAGCGCTATACAATAAGGAAAAGATTTCTGTAGCAAAGGAGCAGGAGGGTCAGTGAATGGAAAATTGCTGGGAGGAAACATCAAGGTTATGGGAAAATTCTGGCTAAACCAATATAGCAATGTTGAAGGATGGCCAGGATGCTCAGCCACCCTCTGAAGGAGAGTGGTGACTTCTTGCAAACCCGACTTAAACTCTTACTTTTACAACAAAGAGCATGTCCTAGACTGCTGCCTGGAAAAGAAAACTCTTGATCTGGGTATGAGAAAAGGAATGCTAAGTTTTACATTGGGCTATTATTATTAAAGGTTGAAGCTAGCACCTATTTGGTCACAAATCAACCAGTGATGCACAGTTTAAGGTTAGCAATTTAGGAATCCTTACACAGTTCATTTTTCTTTTCGTGTATATTACGGGATTTCCTTTGTCCTCAGTTTCTCTGTGTCTTTCAAAGCTACCTACAGTCTGCCTTGGGAGTACTCATTCTGAACTGTCTATCTTTAATTACAATGTTCAGACTCCAAATTCAAACTCTATAAATCTTAACTTTTAAAAGGTACATTTTTCAAAAAAAAAAAAAGGAATGCTAAGTTTTGCATGGGGCCTAGACCTCTAGACCTGAAAAGCTATTATTATTTGTCAAAGGTTGAAGCTAGCACCTATTTGGTCACAAATGAACCAGTGATGCACATTTGAAGATAAAACATAACAGCCTGGTATAGTGCTACACTCCAGCAATCCCAGCATTATTATGAATTCCAGGCCAGCCAGCGCTGTAGAGCAAGATTTTGTCAAACAAAATAACAGAAAACTAAAATAACTTGCTGTAATCTGTCTTGAAGAAATTACACATGATGTACAAAATTGGTATATGCAAAACATACCCAGCATTTTTACACTGTAATACTTATTTGTCTAAATGCTAACCACAAAACAGTCGTTTCACTCATTAAAATACAGGATTTTTCTCTAATGCTTAAATATACCCAAGACAATAGGTAATTATTTAGAATTTGTATAAAACCTCTGTCTGGACATTTTCTTCATCAGTCATTATGAACTTGTCTTAGCTTTCTGGAATTCTAGAACTGCACAGACTGAAACTCAACTGAAGTTAACTGACCTAACTTTTTACCTACTGCAGAATTTTAACAGGATATATCAGTGTCAGGAAACATCAGCTGCTCAAGCCAGACTTTTTTTTTTTTAATAAAGATGGTTCTAAGAAGAAAAACGTCCTTAATGGGAAAATCACAAAACCAAAATCAAAGTAACATCCTCATCTGTTGTTGTATTTATTCACCTGTCTGTCTCTAATAACTAACTCCTTGAAGACAAGAGACTGTGTCTCATTCACACACTCCTTGTTTTCAGGATCCAGCACAGTGACTGGTAGATGCACAGTAGTTACTTTAAATAACATTTTGATAAAATAAGCAAGCCAAATTAGAAAAGCAAATATATTAGAGATATGATATCTATAGAGATGGCTAACAGTCACTAGAAAAGAGGGGTCTACAAGACTGGGGATTTAGCTCAGTGGTAAAGCACTTGCCTTGCATAAGGCCTTTGGTTTGGTCCCTAGAACCACAAAAAGGGAGGGCAGTGTATCTAGAGTTTAGGTGACATTGGACTCATCTTCAGAGAGGATAGAGACTGTCAAGGGAGTGAGCAAGCACTGGCAAGCTACCAAAAGGATGATCAGGAAGGTATACAAATTCAAAGAAGCCAGAAAAGTTTTCAAAGGTAGAAGAATGAGGAAAACAAAGACAACAGATAAGGCTGGGAAGGTGGCTCAGTGGTAGAGCGCTTGCCTTGTATGCATGAGCCCTGGGTTCCATTCCTCAGCACCACATAAAAAGCTGGGAGTGGCGCTGTGGTTCAAGTGGTAGAGTGCTAGCCTTGAGCTGAAGAGCTGAGGGACAGTACTCAGGCCCAGAGTTCAGGCCCCACAACTGACCAAAAAAAAAAACAAAAAAACAAGACAACAGATAAATAAAGGTCACTGGATTTATTGCTTAAAAGTAGAACTTTACAAAGATGGCTATGCAATGACCTGAGTTCAATCCCCCAAAATGGGGATGGGACTGGGGAGTTACTTACCTATTTTTAGGAAAAATAATCTTATCTTCATTTAGTGTGGGGTCCTGCTCATATTCTCAAAACAGTCATTTATTTATATAATAACAGTATCATTTTTCCTATTCACTACAGTATACTTTATAAAAACTCAGCATGCTAGGAATGTGGCTGAGTGGTAGAGTGCTTGCCTAGCATGCATGAAGCCCTGAGTTTAATTCCTCAGTACCATATAAACAGAAAAGGCCACAAGTGGTTCTGTGGCTCAAGTGGCAGAGTTCTAGCCTTGAGAAAAAGAAGCTCAGAGGCAGTGCCCAGGCCCTAAGTTCCCAGGACTGACAAAAACAAAACAAAAAAAACTTCTCTCAGAAACATGAATTTACGTGCAGATGTGTACCTGATTGGTAAAATATTATTTTTCTGTCACCTTATTGGTTGTTCATTTCCTTCTTTATTCCCCACATGAGTCAAAAACATAAAAAAAAGCCTCCCTTGGCCTTATATGAGATTTAGTTTCCTGAAAAGTAAGTTTAAATGTACCTAAGAAATGTACAAGTTTTTGATAATCCAAACATTAAACTACATGGTTTCCATATAAAGATCATGGAATAAAATATAGTTAAGAGATAGGCATCATAAGTGTTGTTCAGCTCAAATGATAGTGTTAACCTAATAAAACAAGGTCCTGAATTAAAACTCTACCACTACCAAAAAAAAAAAGGACAATAGGTGTAATTGTTAAGCTAAGTTTATTACTCACTCCCACTTGATATGACTCATTCTTACACCACACTGAAAACAAAAATACATTTTGGACTCAGAAAAATTATAAATTTCAACATTCATGTCTCAGAACTATCATCCATGCTGCTAGAGAAGTTAAAAACATGAATGTTCAATACATAAATACAAAGAGCTAAATTTCATCCCTAATCCTATTTCACTCTCAACAATGAATTTTACTAGCTATATTAAATATTTTAGAGATTGAAGAATTCATTCAGCAAACACTTTGCATACCTATTAAGTGCTAATCTGATGGTGCTAGATTTTTGAAGAAAGAAGGAAAGAAAAAGGTTCTGGTGGAGGCAGCTACTTTCTTATTGACAGTAGTCTTGATGAAGGGACTTTTGAGCCAAGACCAGAGGAAGTGTGCCACGTGAGTGTGAAGAGGATGAATACTCCTGGGAGATGAAGGGACAAATCAAAGGCCATAATAAAGACGTCGCCGCAGCTTTTAGGAAAAAGCGAAGAGGAAAGTACTAAATCAGATTGCCCAATTTCAAATTGTGAGATGGGAAGCAATTAGAGTGGTTTGAGCATTTTAGCACTATATTTGATTTGTACTGAAAAATTAACACCCTGGTTGCTCAGTGGAGAAGACCGAGGATCTCAGGAAAGGAAAAAAGCAAACAAGTCTGAAAACGATTTCCTTAAACCTGATAAAAATGAGACTAGCTTAATAGAGCCAAGGTAGTAGCATGGAAGGTTCTGAGAAACAGTCCAATTCTGGAAATTTAAGGAAGAGCTAATAGAATTTGTTTCTGGCTTAGAAACAAAAATGAAAAAAAGAAACTTAAGGATCTTATTTCTTATTCCACTCAGAAAATAAACTTTAAATATACTTTAAATTCCTTTTACAAACCTAAATTTAGTCCTGTCTACAGATGCTGCTTTCCCTTAGGTTATTATACATAAACTATGTCCAGAAGCCAGGAAGGCTTTATGCCTATGCGACTGAAGGGTAAGGTGCTACTCATGCAGTAAATTGGGAAACCCAGGGATCTAAATTCAGACATCAGAATGAAAATATTGAAAAGGCAATAAGATACCTAAGCATGGAGTTAAACTGTAGATGAGAATTTAAATGAGGATGGATGAGTACAAATTCAAATAAACAAAACTTGAGAGATTCCAAAGAGAGCTGAGAGGTTGAAAAAAATCAGAAGGGGATTAAAACTAGAGGAAAACTAAAAATGGTATCTTGAAAGCCATGAAAATATCCCATTATACATTAGTAACTAGTAACTAAAAATAAGTAACAGAGCTTCACAAATCATCAGCACTGGATATCCATTGCACTCAGTTCTTCCTGATTTTCCCTTTGGTGTCCACACGCTACACAGTCCAGGGTCTTCCACCTTACTGTCACTCCTAGTGTCATTCCTTTTGGGGCTGCTCTTCCTGCTACCCTCTATAGAGTCTTCTCTACATTAACTATTTTCTTTAAGGTCAGCCACACTCCTGGCTGTAGCTACGTAAGCTATACATTAAGTATCATATAGTTTTTACAATTTACTTTTCCTTGCCCAAGGACAACTTTTTATTTTACTAAATCATTCTGACAGATATTGTGATATGCAGTGATTTTTAGTGCTGTCAGTAATATTGTCAAAATAAGTTCATTGATATAAATTATTATAAATTGAAAGCTAATTGAAATGTGACACTTTTCTTTGTCAGTCTTAAGGCTTCAACTCTGGGCTGGACACTGTTCTTGAGTGTTTTTGGCTCAAGACTCTACCAGTTGAGCCACAGTTCCATGTTCAGCTTTTTGGTGGTTAACTGTAGATAAAGAGTCTCATGGCCTTCCCTGCCCAGGTTAGCTTTGAACAGCAATCCTCAGATCTTAGTCTCTGGAGTAGCTAGGATTACCTATGTGAGCCACTGTTGCCTGCCTAGTATACATATACTTGTAGGAAAAGGAATACATCACCTTTCCTTTCCTAAAAGAAACTTTTTCAATCAGATATAAAACTAAATACAAACTGGAAAAGCCATAAAGAAGCACTTCAAAGCCCAAAGCAAAATTAAGTTACCTTGATACCATTCATTAATTGTATTTCCTTCCTTTCCTTTTGACAATAAAATACCTTAAGATGTTCTTATATAAAACTTAACATGGTATACCATAGTGTATATTTTCAAGCTTTTATTCAAAATAAGCTAAGAGAATGATTTAGGAGGTTGATAATTATTGACTTACCTTAAAAAAAATACATTTATATGAGGACATTCAGATCTATTGAGAAACTTGTAGACCAGATTTTTTTCCTTCCTTCTTCCTTTCTTTCTTCCTTTCTTTTTTTTTTTGAAATCAGAACTAGGTTTGAACTTGAGTCTCATAGCTGCTAGGCAAAGTGCTCTACCACCTAAACAACTTCCTACATGTAATCAGCTTTAAATTCTCTTCAATGATAATAAAATGAATTCTAAATTATGTATCAATAATTCTTCAAAAGTTGAAAGTTTTAAACAACTCATTTTAAGAATTCTTATTTTACTATAATCTTTTAAGTATTTAATAAAATTAGGAAAAGGAATATAGTGGGAGAAGCCTATAATCCTAACACTCAGGAAGATCATGAATTTGAGGCCAACCTGGGTTATAAAGCGAGACCCTGTCTCAAAAGGAAAAAAATAAGTAGAAAAGAATATTTTACCTGGTTGGCACAAAATCTTGTAGCCAAAAATAGGATATCAGTGTTGATAATATTATGGATAAAGAAGTTGCAAATCCTTTTAAAATATTATCTGCATACTTAATAACAGCAGCTATTACAAGGCCTCCAAGTGCCTGTAAAAGAGGTAAGGGATTAATTTTTTAAATAAACATATAAGACTGCTTTTCAACACAACTTCATTACTCAAAGAAGCTTTAAGGGTTTTGTTCTAAAATGGTCCCATTATACCAAACAACATATTAAATATCTTTGCAACCAACAGACTTTCAGGTTTTGTTTAGTAGTCCACTTATTTCAAAGGAGATCTAATAAAGCAATCAGAGCCATGTGAATGAAATTTGATCACACTGGGGAAAATAATTTTTTTAAACCCTATATATTCCCTACACAGTATAGGTGGCTCACACCTATAATCCTGGTTAGTCAACAGTTTGAGATCTGAGGATGGAGGGTCCAAGTCAGCCCAGACAAGAAAGCCCTTGAGACTCTTATCTGGAAATAGAGCTGTGTAAGAGTGCTAGCTTTAAGTAAAAAAGCTCAGAGACAGATAGATGGGCACCTGTGGCTCACCCCTGTAATCCTAGCTACTCAGGAAGCTTAGATATGAAGATCACAGTTCACAGCCAGCCTAGGCAGAAAAGTCCATTGGAAACTTTACCTCCAATAACTACTCAAAAAACCCTAAGTGGAGCTGTGGCTCAAAGTGGTATAGTGCCTAGTCTTGAGCAAAAGAGATCAGAGTCAGAACCCAGGCCCTGAGTTCAAGCCCCATGACAGACAAAAAAAAAAAAAAAGCTCAGAGATAGTGCCTAGGCCCTAGTTCATGTCTGAGGACCAGCACAAAAAAAAAGAAAAAACTGAAAATAAAACAAAAAACCTATACTCACCCAATTCAGTAATTAAATATCACTTACGTGGACAAATGAGGGTAGACTGGTTACCCAGAATACTTACATATTTGAGTAAAAATTTTTAAAATTTACTGGCTTATCAATACCTACCTAATTTGGTTTTCTTTCTCTAGGTTCTACTCTCACTCAAAACTACCGCTTATTATTTTCAGATTGCTCTTCTTAAAGTACAGTTTTAAACGTGCAGGAGTGTGTGTGTGTGTGTGTGTGTGTGTGTGTGTGTGTGTGTGTGTGTGTGTGTGTGTGTGTGTGTGTGTGTGTGTGTGTGTGTGTGTGTTGGTTTCTGACTGAATAAAGAGCCTTTTGTATGGTAGGCAAGTGATCTACTACAAGATTATACTTCTAGGACTATGCTCTTTAAAAGTGTATGAATAACTTCCTATCAGTTCCTTCTCAAATTCCAGATTGTGGCTACCTAAGAAATAATTTGGAGCGGGTGACAGGAGTGGTCACTTATAATCCTAGTTTCTCAAGACTAAGATCTAAGGATCAAGCTTTTAAGCCAGCCCAGGCAGACAAACCCCAGACACTTCTATTTCAAATTAACCAGCAAAATGCTGGAACTGGAGATGTAGCTCAAGTGGTAGAGCATTTGCCTTGAGTGAAAAAGAGCAAAGATAGAGCTCAGGCCTTGAGTTCAAGTTCCAGTACCAGTATATCTATATCATCATCATCATCTCATTGGAGAATGAGCTGAGAATTTAGCTCAGTGATAGAGTACTTGCCTAGCATATAGGAGGCTGGATTCAATATTACAAAACAAAGCTAGACAGATTCTGCTATACTCCCAAAATCCAAAACTCTAACTACTCTAAAACCTTAAACTTTTTTGAGTGACAGTATGCTACAAATATAAAATTGCACATCTGAGTTAAAGTGATGGGTCAGTTACAATGAAGGTACACGTAAATATTATATGTAATTATCTCCAGATTATGTGTTTCAGTAAATATGAAATGTAATTTTGTGTTTAGACTTCAGTTTCATCACAAACATTTCATTATGTATATGCAAATATTCCAAAATATTTTTAAAGTCTGAAATTCAAAACACTTCTATGTCAGAGCAGTTTGGATAATGGAAACCCAAGTTTTACTACATAATTTAGTTTACTATCAAACTCTACAAATCAGCTCCCAAATCTAAGCTAATGATCTACCTAATAGTTTTAACCATTCAATGATGGAAGCTTATTTAGAGAGAGTAATGAATTATGCCAACTAAGCTTACTATGAGTCTCAATATTTCTGGGCAACATTGTGAATTTCTTATTGAATCCTTTATACCAAGTATTTTGGTCATGTCAATCCATCTGCTAGGATAAAATACAACAAACATAAATTTTCGAGACTTATACTATCTCTACTTCAAATTTTTTATTTATTCTTGGCTCCTTTTTCCTATCCTAAAAACAGACATGTTTGCCCTACTTTCAAAACACTGTCATGTCTGTTGACATCTTCAGCTACCTTCCAAGACCTTATTCCTGACTTCCAACACCTCTCACAAAATAGAAATCTCTGAGGGCAGTATCTTGCATCTGCAAGCTCACATTCTCCAGAATACTCAATAACTATATGTTGAAGCTGAAATTAATTATTCAACCTACAGTTTCAAGTTATATATAAACTGAATTTCACACAAAAACATGCGCCAACATATAATTTTTTTAATGAACATCTTTATGTACTTACTGGGTCTTCAAAGAACTAATTACAGCTTTTCTGTACAGTGATAATAACTGTAGAAAAGACTAAAGTTGCATTTGCCCTTAGCTTCAACTTTATTTTTCTGAGGTAGAATCTTGCTCTATAGGTTCTGGCCTCCAAGTCATCATTGTCAATGGCAGATAGTTGCTGGTATTATAGGCATGTCTACCACTCCTAACAGCTATTTTATCCTTAAACTTGCATTTTTATGATAGTAAATCTACCACAATTTGTTATTCACAATCCTTTTTCAAAATAAGTTTTCATTAGAGCATGAAGGCCAGTTCTATTTAACTTTCCTGGTCTTTACTCTGGAATCAAGACATCAATAAAAACTTCAATAATCTACTTTAAACCAGTATTTATTAGCATTAATTGAATGATTTTAAATATTTTACCTGAAGAACAACAACGATCCATGTCAGCTGGTTATATCCCTGAAAAAATCCATTCTTTGATACCAATTCTCCATCATAAACATACACACCCATTAATCCAAATATGCTCCCAAAGAAACCTGTAAGAAAGTGAAGTCTCAGTCACACTTCATTTAGTTTTCCCAGAGAGAAACTTTCCTGTTGATATTCCAAACGTCTGTGCATGTTTCTTTTCTTTGCTTGCTTGTTTGAGTAGGGTCTTGGGTATTTAGCAGACCAAGTAGAACCTTGAGAGTCTCCTGCCTTAGCCTTCAATGTGCTGGGATTACAAGTACTACAGCACAATGCCCAACTTACTTCCATCTTCCATAAAATTTGAATTTAAATTTTTTACTTGCTTTATAGAAACCTAACAAAAGTATACTCAATACTACATTATTATAAGACAAAGACATAAGAAAAGAGAAAGATATTAAAAACCAAGAAACAGAGATTACCAACAGTGAAGCAGTAAAATATTACATGGTTACATTGCTGATCCTTTCAAGCACTTGTAAAGTGCTCATCTTTAGCATGGTACTTGTTTTTTTTTTTCCGTAGGTGCCAGGGCTTGAGGGCAGGACCTCACATACTCTAGGGCCAGTGCTCTGTTCTCTTTTAGTTATTTTTTTTGTGTATGTTGTCCTGGGGATTGAACTAAGGCTCTTGAACTCTTGCTTGGCTGTCTGCTCAAGACTGGTGATCTATACTTGAGCCACAACTCCATTTCTTGCTTCAAGTAAGTCTCATTTTTTCCCTCTGGGGCCATCAAGGGACCTTGTTTCTTCTCCTTTGCCTCTACAAAGTAGAGGTTACAAGTGTGTACCACCATACCTAGCTTTTTGGTTGAGATGTGGTTTAACTTTTTGCCATGGGTAGCCTTAAACCATGGTCTTTCCAGTCTCATCCCCCAGGTAGTTGGGATTACAGGCATGTGCCAGCATAGTTGGCAAACTTCTCCTAATAAGTTGATTGACGTCAAGTAATTGTTGTGATCAGACGAACAGTATACAAGAATATGTACATATACGTGTTAACATCTATCAACCTGTGACATTGTAACACTTGTATATTTTGCTGTCTGGATGACTTGTAGTATATAACACAATTCTGAATGTACACTAATGCTCTAGAAACCTTTAAGGTTGATACTCATATGACCATTTCATAGATGAAGAAACCTGCCCAAGCTCACATTGCTGGAATTGTCCGGCAATGGAGTTAGTATTGGAATGCAGGCAGTGTGGTTCTGCAATCTAGGACCTTCCTTTTCTTTTTTTCTTTCTTTCTTTTTTTTCTCCTTCTTTTTCCTCTTTGCAGTCCATGATCTTAATCACTGTATTATTTAACCAAATACATAATTTATTTAGTCAGTTCTATTTCCTATCTTATACAATTTAACCAATGATGACATGAAAAAATCTTAGCCATCTTACTTTTTGTGAAAGACAAATTCTTACTCAGATGTGGAATTCCTTTATCAAAGCCTATATTTGTATTAAAAGTTATAAGCATTCCCAAATGAAAATACCATAAGAATATATCAGTCTATTCTCTTAGTAGTCATATGTACTACAGTTTGTTTCTCTGGTTAACATTATATCTTATCAATTTATTACCTTTGACAATTTGATATTTGAAAAATTAAAAGAATAAATGGGTTTTTTTCTTCTTTTAATTCTGACTTATCTGTAACTTGACTTATCTGTAACTTATTTACAGATTCTTTAAAATTTTTCAGTCTACGTATCAGTTTTTCCATAGATATTGCACTATCAGGTCAAATACGACAATAAGAAATCCAGAAGGCTGGGGATGTGGCTTAGTGATAGAGTGCTTGCCTAGCATGAATGAATCTCTGGGTTTGGTTCCTTAGTACATCAGCAGAAAAAGGGGAAATGGTGCTGTTGTTCAAGTGGTAGAGTACTAGCTAGGCTTGAGTAAAAGGAGTTGTTCAGGAACAGTGCCCAGGTCCTGAGTTCAAGCTCTGGGACTAGCAAAAAAATTTTTTTTAATCCAAAATTTAAACAACTCCCAGAAACTTAAGTCTATCTATCTTTCTTTCTTTCTTTCTTCCTTTCTCTCTCTCTCTTTTTTCTTTGTCGGTCGTGGGGCTTTAAACTCTGGGCCTGGGCACTCACTGCCCCTGAGCTATCAGCACTCTACCACCTGAGCAACAGCTCCACTTCCAGTTTTCTGGTGGTTAATTGGAGATAAGAGTCTCACAGACATTCCTGCCCGGGCTGGCTTTGAACCTCAATCCTCATATCTCAGCCTCCTGAGTAGCTAGGATTACAGGCATGAGCCACTAGCACCTGGCTTGACTATTTCTTTCTGACATTAGTGCTTATTATGTATATATGCAAAATCTTTAATTCTAAATACTTTACAAGTATTCTCACCTAATCCCCGTAACAATAAGATAAGCACTACAGTTTACAAATTATATATATACATATATTTATGTACATATATATAATAGACATGGTTTATTTATTTCAAAATATACTGAAATATAAATGTAAGAATACAGTCTTTTTGTTTTGAGGTAGGGTCTTGAGGTTAGCCTCAAACTGCTGATCCTCTAGGCCAAGCCTCCTAAATGCTGAGATTACAGGCACACACAACCACTAGACCTGGTAAACATAACCTATTAAACAATGTTAGAACGCATTTAAAACTTACCAAGCTGAATGTTTCTTATCCATACAGATTGTTTTGTTTCTTTTAAGATTTTCTCAAAATAAACTCCAGCAAAGCCACTTGAAAAACAAGCTGTGAGAACTGCCATGAGGCCTACAAATTGAGAGCCAGCTGAAAGTTCCTTAGAATCAAGCTCTTGAGAATCTGAAGGCCACTGAATAAAAAAGAAAAAGAAAACTGAAGCTTAATTGCTAAGGTACTGTACAAAGCATATCAAGAGCCCACTCTCAGACCTTAGGATAAAATGTTATTTCAGTATCATCCTGCTGAATTGCAGGGAAGAGCTTTTGAAAGAAAAACAACTGGAGAATCATCTGCTTTTCCATTTCAATTTTTAATTTCAAAAAGTACCTTCTGAGACAATAAACATTTAACATGTCATTATTTACAGACTTACTTCTTTAAGACAATCCTTTAAAGTATAACTTTTTAAAGACCACCACTACAAATACAGACAGATAAAAGGATTACAGTCTTGCCTTCTCTCTGCGCAGCCAAAGCAAATAGCTGACAAGAGATACACTAAGTATAAACGAGAAGCTATTGGGAAGGGAAGCCCAAACACTGCCAGGGAAACAGTCCATGAGAACATGAAGGAAGGCCGGGTGCTGGTGCTGTAATCTTAGCTACGAAGGAGGCTGAGATCTGAGAACAGAGGTTCAAAGCCAGCCCAGATAGACAAATCCAATAGACTCTGATCTCTAATCAACCAGTAAAAAGCTGAAAGTAGAGATGTGGCTCAAGTGGTAGAGCCACCAGCCTTGGGCAAAAAAACTAAACAAGAACTTGAAGCTCTGAGTTCAAGACCCAGCACTGACATCAAAAAAGAAAGAGAAAAAACAAAGGAAGAAAGAAAAAAGAGGAAATTTTTTTTTGTATTATGAAGGAAGTATGTGGGAAGGACTCCAAGGCAGTCACAGTATCCCTATAACTTAGATATACAACGGGTATACTTTGTATCTACTATATGGACACCTACTGCTTTTCCACTGATCATCTAGCTGGTATTCTTAAAGCTGCTTTTCCTCCAAAACTATACCTTTCCAAGCTAGCTACCAAAGACTTCTTAATGTGTAAAACAACAGTGTGTGTACACGTGTGCCACTACTAGAGCTTGAATTCAGGGTCTAGGTGCTGTCCTTGAGTTTTTTTTGCTTAAGACTAGTGCTCTACCACTTGAGCCACAGCTCCTCTTCACACACTTTCCTGCTTTGGTTGGCTTTGATCTGCGATCCTCAGGTCTCAGTCTTCTGAGTAGCTAGGATGACAGATGTGAGCCACCGGCTTCCAGCTAAAACAACTTTTAATTAAAAAATTGTTCATTTCCTTGTCAGATTGCCTTCACTGAAGTACTCACAATATAATGATCACTGACTTCTGAAACAATATGCTTTTTTTTCTTGGTCTTCTAATCTCTGAGCCTGTGTTTCTCAATACACCTTCTGGAGGATAAAAAGATTCTGTATCTTTACTGACCTTCCTTCCCCACTTTCCTAAAATAGTTTGGAGAAGACTATTTTAGAAAGGGGGTGAAGGAAGAGTGATAGAAGAAATGGGACTGATTGGAAGAGGTGAGATACACTGTGTATATGCACCGAAGTGTCACAAAGAAATATCAAACACATACACAAGCATAACTAATGTATGCTAATAAACAAAAATGAAGGATAAAAAAAGAAAGAACAATCCATAAAGGGAAACAAGTAAGGAGCCATTTGGAAGATCTGAGAATTAAAAACGAACAGTACAATGAAGCTGATAGACATTAAGAAGATTCCACATATCTGGTAAAAATAAACTTAGTGTTACATGCACGCAGTATCTTACTCCTCTAATGAGACTATTCACTTCTGGGTTTTCTTGATTTAAGTATAGTAACTCAGCTCTGTAATCCTAGCCCTTAAGAATCTGAGGTAGAAGGATCACAAATTCAAGTCCAGGCTAGTCTAAATAGTGAGTCTTATACAAGCTTAGATTTTGTAACAAGAACTTCTCTTCCAAAAAATAAATTTTGGAAGAAGTTTTTGATGTGCTGGGAATCAAAGCCAGAAACTTGCATATTAGGGACCTGCTAAGAGTAAACCACCTAGACCTGGCCAACTGTTTGTTTCTTTAGGTAAAAAAGTGTATTTTTATTTATGAATTTGTATCATAGTCTCAATGTAGTCTTTAAAAGTCCTCAAATGTCAGCATTTATCTGCTTAAAAATAGAAGCATGTTTTCCAAGCAAAACTGTGGTAAGAATAAAAGGTATACTTATCTTGAATAGTTACCTGTACAAAAGCAACTCCAGTCATCAAAATTACCAAGGAGAGCCACTGGTACACACCTAGTTTTTTACTAAGCATAGACACAGAAAATAATGCCGTTGTAAGAATTTTCAACTGATATGTAACCTAAAAAAGAAAACACCAATATTTTTAATATGTGTTTGTTTCTCTTCCTGAAGGGACTGTGAGAAATTTATATCAAGTACCTGATAAGTAGCTGCATCTAGATTTGACAATGCCACATACAGCAAATTATTCTGGAGAGTATATATCCCTGATGGAATAGCAAGTTTAAGTGTTTCCATAGGTTTATTAAGAATTTCATCATGCAGAACTCGATTCAGTGCTCTCAGACTACATTCTAGAATAAACAAGTGAAAGGGAAAATTGAGTAACTGAGTAAGCTGTAAATCCTTTCTCTATAGGCCTCTGATTTTTCATCTACAAAAACTGGAAGCTGAGCTATACGGCAAGATAACTTTACGTCCCAAATATGCTTTCCACTAAAACATTACAAAATAGTATATGAAGATGAGCATTATCCTCCTATTCCTTTTTTCCAATATGTAACCAAATTGACTATATAAATATGTACATACACACATTTATAACCGAAAGCTCAAAGTATTAATTTGCCAATAGTTTTTCACAAAACCAAGAGTGAGAGGCTAGGGAGTGTAGCTCAAGGGTCTCCATGGTAAAGCTGAGAGGCTAGGGAGTGTGGCTCAAGGGTCTCCATGGTCAAGCATTTGTAGAGCATGCCTGAAGGCCTGGGTGTGATCTCCAGCCACCACCAAAAACAAAGAGGGGTCGGGAGAACAAGTGCTGGAGAGAATGTGGAAGAAATGGACACTTTGTGGGCTGCAAGTAGAAATATAAAATGATGTACCTACTATGGAAAATAGTTTGATTGCTCCTTAAAAGGTGAACATAGAATTACTGGGTTACCAAGTAATTCTACTTCTAAATATATACGCAAAAGAAGTAAAAACCAAGATTCAAACAGATCAGTGTTTAGCTATTGTAGCACTATTCATTGTTCACTGTAGCATTATTCACAATAACCAAAAGGTGGAGCCAACCTAAACAAAATGTAGGACATTTATACTATGAAATATTACTCATAAAAGGAAATAAAGTGTTGATACATGCTATAACATGGATAAACCTTGAAAATAAGTGAATAAGCCAGACATAAAAGGAGAAACATGATATGAATCAACTTATAGAAAATATCTAGAACAGGGGCTGGGAAGGTGGCTCAGTGGTAGAGTGCTTGCCTTGCATGCATGAGGCCCTGGGTTCGATTCCTCAGCACCACATAAGCAAAAAGAAAAAAGCCAGAAGTGGCGCTGTGGCTCAAGTGGTAGAGCACTAGCCTTGAGCTGAAACGCTGAGGGACAGTGCCCAGGCCCAGAGTTCAGGCCCCACGACCGGACCCAAAAAAAAAAAAAAAAAAAAAAAACCAGAAAATATCTAGAACAGGCAAAAATCAGGAAGTAAATTAAGGGTGACTAGAGGCTGGAGGTAAGGGAAAATAGATAATTACTGTTTAATCATTAAACAATTTGTTGGTTAGATGAAAAAGTTTAAGACATAGTGGTGATGGCTACCCAATTCTCTGAATGTAAGCAAAGTCAATGAGATGTAGATTAATCATTAAAATGGCAAATTTTAGGTTGTACTATGTATGTACATATGTATGTACACGTGCATATGTGTATGTATGTGCATATATACTTATGTGTGTATGTATGTATGACTACAACTTTAAAAAAAAAATTAAAGACAGCATAGTGGAATATGCCCCTGAGGAAGAACCAAGTTCTGCGCCAGCATAGGCTACATAGGAAGGCCTAATTTTTTTTAATGGTCTACTCTAAAGTCCACCCAAATACATGCCAAAGGCCCTGGATTAAATCCTCAGCACCACCCAAAACAAAACAGGATGAGCTGAGAGTAGGGCTGTATCTCCATGCTTGAACTCGGGGTCCAATCTCTAGGCATGTACCTCGATGGTAAAGTATGTACTTAATGTGCTTGAAGCTCAGGGTCCAGTCTCTACACCAAACCACAAGAACAAATTCATGAATTAACAAATCAATGTGCATTGTAAAAAAATGGTTTTCAAATGAGTCACTGCTGTACTAATCCAGTAGCAAATAAAAAGTCTTCAGTAAAAAATTATTATGGGCCCCTTAAAGTTCTAATAAGCATGGATTTATAGAACCTACTCTTATTCTCAAATACTACACTATAAATCATGATAAAAGACTAGAATAAAATAGCTTTAATGGTAGACTTAACTGTCTTAAAATGTTTTAAATATTGAAATGTTCTTAAGAGTAGGGCAATTAAATAATGTAAGGATTCAAAGTTTTATTTTGATATATTTGTATACATGTAAAGTAAATAAATTGCACAAATTAGAAACCAGAAAACTCCTAGATACCTACTACTGTCTTTGTAGACTAAAAAGATGCAGGCCATTATCTTCAAAAGTTCAGCAACAACCACTGCTGTAGAAGATAGATAACGAGGTCCTTCCTCTTTCAAAGTCCTAGAATAACGCATGGTTAGAACCAAACTGGTAGTCTGAAAGACCAAAATTCCCAACGAGAGATATTTCAGGTTGGCAGACATTGTTTTATCTTCATTTGCCTGAAAAACAAAATAAACAAGACAAATAAAATTATAAACTTCAGAAAACTAATATCCAATAAGAAATACCTGGCTCCAAACAAATAAAATAAGCATCTTCTTCTTCCTTCTGATTATAACCAAAATCCATGGACCACAGACAAAAAGCAAAACTGCCAGAAGACTCTGAAAGATGAAAAAAACTAGGCAAACTAGCTGGAGACCTTGGGTCTCAGAGATGACCCACTAATCAATGCTTTGATTTTTTTTTTTTTTTTTGCCATCTATATAGCACTCAAGGTGCTACAGTAAAAACTTGGACTTGCCAACAAGTGTAGAACAATAAAACTAGCTCCAGTTTCTCTAAAAAGGGGTAAAAACAGCAGTCCTAGAGAATGGGACCATCTGTGGGACAGTGCCTTGTTTAGCAAGGAGCAGGGTGGTGACTGGACTGATGCCACCAGAGTTGGCAGCCAGAGGAACTGTGGAACGGTCCTGTTGACTCTTCCTGTCATGTATAGGGTAAGTATCAGCAAAGAGACAGTAACCCTTCCTCCTCCCCAGTGGCTGCCTATTAACAAAGGAGATTTAAGCAGGAACTAAGCCTCATAATGCTAAAAGTGACCAGGATATAGTCTAAAGTGAGAAAACACACAAAGAAAAAAAGAAAAAGAAAAAAAAAACTCAACTTGGTTGTGTAACAGCAATCAACAGGTAATGCAAAGATGACCCAGATGTTGGAATTACTTTTATCAGGCAAGCTATCAGAGAAGCTATCATAAAAATTCAGCCCCTTAAAGGGGCTGGGAAGGTGGCTCAGTGGTAGAGCGCTTGCCTTGCATGCCTGAGGCCCTGGGTCCGATTCCTCAGCACCACATAAGCAAAAAGAAAAAAGCCGGAAGTGGCGCTGTGGCTCAAGTGATAGAGCACTAGCCTTGAGCTGAAGAGCTGAGGGACAGCTCCCAGGCCCAGAGTTCAGGCCCCACGACTGGACCCAAAAAAAAAATTCAACCATAAGCAGTTATGAACACTCTTGGAAATCATTGAGATTCACAATGAAAAATAGTATAACTTCTTTTGTATCCTCTACCCAATTTCCTCCAATGACAATAGTTGCAAAGTCCTTGTTTTCCCTAAAATAATTTTTAATATTAGGTTGAGACTCACTTTGCCTTTTATGTATTTGTTTTAGTGGTGCCAGGGACTCAAAGTCGGACTCATGCACACTGTTTCCAATTTACCATTGAGCTACATTTCTAATCAGCTGAAAAGTAAAAAGATTAGGCCAATGCAGTGGTAAGGAACTGCAGCCCCAGCTATCAGGGAAGTGGAGGTGGAGGAGAGATTAAGTCTAAAAGTTTGAGATGAGCCTGATCCACATAGTGAGATCTAGTTTAGGGAAGGAAGGTATAATACAATGAAAAAAATAGTAAGTGGAAACATTTGGAGGGACCATATTAGCATAATCAGAATAGATCACACAAAAACTATTTCTAGTATCAATGGAAACTATTTCATAATGATGAAAGAGTTAATACTTCAGAAAGCTATAGCCATTATAAATGTGTATCTGGCTCATTAATACAGTTTTAAAACAAAATTAACTATGAGAAAAAACAGGCAAATCATCATAGCTAAAGATTCCTTTAACTTAATGTTAACGGTCATAACTAAAAATTTTTAACCACTGGGCATTGGTGGCTCATACCTGTAATCCTAGCTACTGAGGAGACTGAGATCTGAGGACTGGTTCAAAGCCAGCCCAGGCAGAAAAGTCTTCATGAGACTCTCATCTCCAATTAACTATTCAAAAATGGAAGGGAGAAAAATAAGGGAGGGGGTAACAAGTTCGACAAGAAATGTACTCACTACCTTACTTATGTAACTGTAACCCCTCTGTATATCACCATGACAATAAAATTAAAATTTAAAAAAAAGGGGGGGGGGGGGCCGGGCACAGGTGGCTCACGCCTGTAATCCTAGCTACTCAGGAGGCTTAATCTGAGGATCGAGGTTCAAAGCCAACCCAAGCAGGAACATCTGTGAGACTCTTATCTCCAGTAAACCACTAGAAAACCGAAGCAGCGCTGTGGCTCAAGCAGTAGAGCGCTCACTTTGAGCTGAAGAGTGCAGGAACAGCGCCCAAACCCAGAGTTCAACCCCCATGACTGATCAAAAACAAAAGGGGGAGGCGGGGGGAGTGGCACTGTGGCTCAAAGTGATCGTGTGTTAGCCTTGAGCAAAGGAGTTCAGGAGTAGCACCCAGGCCCTGAGTTCAAGCCCCATGACCACCAACAACAAAGATTATTAATCTAACTTTCTCAATGAATAGAATTCATAAAGCCCCAAAGAAAATCAGTAAGGATTTGATGCTATCAAACTGTGGTAGACATGGAGATATTCCACCCAGATTCTCCTTTAAGGAAAATTTTAAGTATAAGATGTAGTCAGCCAATGGTTTTCCCATCCAACATCACATATATCCTTTACCTCCAGTTGCTCGAAAGCCTAAATTTAATCACAAACAAAATCTCTGGACCCTTTGTGTGGTAGAAACTAGAAAGCTCATTTTATTTATGTTTTCTTTTGCCGTGTGTTTGTATCTGATAAGATATGTTGTCCAGGTTGGTCTCAAACTCATGAGCTCAAGTGGTCCTCCCTGACACAAGCTGATTTCTAAAATCTGTATGTAAATACAAAAGACTTAACAACCAAAACAATTCTGAAAATGAAGAACAAACTGAAAGAGTCAAACTACTGGACCTTCCAGACTCACTTAAATCTATGAAGACTGATATTATTATAAGGACACAAGAAAGGATCAATTGAACAGAATACAGTCCAGAATTAGATCTGTATTTCCTACTTAGAACAAACTGCCATAAGTACCTTATAATCAGTTCCTTACAAACAAAACAAATTGTTATTTCTCAGTTAATTAAAGCTGAAAGTTCAAGGTCAAAGTGACAGCATGATCAGGTTCTAGTGAGGTCTTTCTTCTAGATTTGCAGATTGCTATCTTCTCATGGTATTCTCATGTGACAGAGTACAGAGTTTTCTGGGGTCTGTTTTTATGAAGGCATTAATCCCATTCAGGAGAGCTCTACTCACATGATCAAAGTACTTACCAAACGGCATTATCTCCCTAGTATCATCACGTTGAAAGTCAGGATGTCAACATGTGAATGTGGGAGGAAGGGCACACTCAGTGCACACTCTGTATGTGTGTGGCCATGTGGTCTTGCTACGTAGCCCAGGGTGGCCTCAAACTCTAAATTTTCCTGCATTAGCCTCCCAGATACTGAGACCTCAGGGTTAAAGCACTGTCAACTAGTTTTGACAAAGGTGGCGAAGGAAAAAGACCATCTTTGTGACAAATAGCTCCAAAACAATGTGTTATCAGTATTTTTTAATAAACATTTACCTTAACAGCCTTCCACCAAATTTTAACCAGAAATGGATCAAACACCTATCATAGTTAGCATACAAAAGCCACTCTCTGAGTGTGATAATGTGGCACCATAAAAAAGTAGTAGTAGTGCCGGGCATCAGTGGCTCACACCTGTAATCCTAGCTACTCATGAGGCTGAGATCTGAGAATTGTGGTTTGAAGCCAGCCAGGGCAGAAGAGTCCCTGTGAGAGTCTTACCTCCAATTAACCACTTGAAAACCAGAAGTGGCACTGTAGTTCAAAGTGCTAAAGCGAGCACTAGCCTTGAGCAAAAGAGCTTAGGGACAGAGCCCAGGCCCTGAGTTCAAGTCCCAGGAACAATATATATATATATATATATATATATATATATATATATATAGTAATAATAATAAATTATCATAGGCCTAAAGATGTAGTTCAGAGACAGAGTGTTTGCCTAGCATGTACCAGGCCAAGGTTCAATCCCAGCACTGTGAACCAAAGAGGAAAAACTAACATAAAAGCTAAAACCTTAAATATTCAGTAAGAAAGCACAGGAGAAAATCATATTCATCTATAAAAAAGGAAAGATTTCTTAAGCAGAACACAACATGAACCAAAAATGTAGAAACAATGTATAAACTACATGTCAAAAAAATGTAATGCTCTTCGAAAGATACTAGAAAAATAAAAGGCAAGCTACTTCATGAGAAGAATACTCTCAGCACTCATATACGACTACAAACATGTATATATACACATAGAGTTATGTACTTCTCATAACACTACAAATAGAAAACACAATTTAAAGGTAGGCAAAAGGTATTTCACCAATACATACAAATGAGTGGCTAATAATCACACACACAAAGAAAGTTTAACATCATAGCCATCAGAGGAAAAAAAAAAAAACACAATGAGATACATGTACTAGAATGGCTGGCTTCATTTTTGAGACAGACTCTTACTATGTTGCTAAGGCTAGCTTCAACCAACTATCCTGCCTCAGCCTCCAAGTAGCTAGTATTACAGGTAGGTGGTAGCACATCCAGCTCTCAACTGGCAAACTTTAAAAAGTTAGTGCTGCCAGGAGCTGGTGGTTTCATGCCTGTTGGGAGACTGAGATCTGAAGTTAATGGTTTGAAAAGCCAGGTAGCACAGAAAAGTTCATAAGACTCATTTCTCCAATAAGCTACTCAGAAACAGCCATAAGTGGCACTGTGGCTCAAGTAGTAGAGTTCAGCTCCAGAGCTGGCCAAAAAAAAAGAAGACATATGACAGTTCTCCCTTCCCTCCTACTACTTTAATAGTAAATAATATATTTAATAATCATTAGGGTGAGTATTATTATTACAGAGAAAACAATTCTTGAAGGCAGAAGTGTACCTTATAAAATCTGATAATTCCTACCCTAACAGAATATGCCCCAAACACAAAACAATGCCACACTGGTACTGTATGGATAATTGTTTAATGGTAAAATACACAGTTCTACCCCTAAATATATAAAAATACATACAGTTAATAGAAAAATTACTTCAGCAGGTGACTTGACTTTCAGAGACAATAATTAAATAGCAGACATGTTTGTTACGCAGAGGAACAAGCT